CTGGCTCATTATTTCCGGATGTTTGGATAGGCAACATTGCATGTTTTTTACAGAGTCTTTAAAAAAACCAACAACATACTAGGCTTTGCAATCATAGATGGGCTGTAAACTGCATAGTAGCCTTTGCCTCAAGGCATAAGCTCTGAAGACTATTTACGGGAATTCCCTCTGACGTTACATTCGATTCTCATCACATCGGACCCACAGACTGCCCTCGATCCTCCTCCAAAACAGGAAAGCGACTGGGTTGGACGATCCCGGGGAATCTCCTTCGCTCCTGCACAAATCCTTCCCGCTTCCTGCAAGCGGGTGCTGCCACCGCACTGCCTCGCGAACAGGCCGGCAGCAGCGCAGGGTCCGGAAGAGCCGCTCGGGCCTACTCTTAGGGGAGGCTTCCCCTGGCCCCCGCACGCCCACGGGATCAGCCCGGGCGGCCTCGCCTGGCCCTTCCGACCCCCTCTCCCCCCCAGCGGGAGGCGGCCGCGAGCCGAGGGGGAGGCGAGGGGGGAGAGCGGGGCGCCCAGGTAAACAAAGCCCCTGGAGCTCGCCCACGACACGCCGGAGCCCCCGGACACCGCCTCGCCCCGCCGCCATGGCAACCACACCCGCCCCCCAGCAACACTGACCGCGCGCCTCCTCCCTCAGCCTGGAGCCTGCGCAACAACCGTGGGGGCGGGGATGATGTGCGCCCCACCCCGCAGTCTATTGGCGACGCGGACGATTCCGGCGCGTGATTGGCCCGCGTTCCCGTCGGTCTGCGAGCTGCGGCGCGCGATTGGCTGCGAGTCGCCGGGTGGGCGAGCCGGGTTTGAATCGCTCTCGGGAGGGAGGGCGGTTACCGCTGCCACGTTGCCGCCGCCGGTGGCCCTGCCCAGCCCGGGGTGCGCTCGGCAGCGTCCGGAATCGCTCGGCAGCGTCCGGAGGCGGCTCTGAAGGGAGCGTTGGGGCTGCCGGGTCGGGGCGCGATGCTGGCCGACAGCTTGGTGGAGGAGTTCGAGCTCCGCGAGGATGAGCCGTGGTACGACCAGCAGGACCTGCAGCAAGGTGAGGCCGCCGCTTCCCCCGCCCGAGCAGCTGCCTCCTCCTGCACTTGCGAGGGCTGCCGGGGCTGAGGAGGAGTCCGGCTCTGCGCTTCCCCAGCCTGCTCCTGCCGCGCGGACCGCCCCGCCGTCCTGGGCATGAACAGAGCACCTGCGCTCCGGGGCTTTCTTCAGAAACTTCCATGCGGGGCATTAACTAGGAGCCCGCCCCGGAGAAACACGCCGGGAAAAAACCACTAGAAGCTGATGCTGCGGGACCAGGCATCTGGCGTTGAGCCTTCCCTTGTCCCCAGTGCTCGGGGCACTTGGAAGTATCCCCTCGTTACTTGACAATTCGGTAGAATAACGTCTGTGTATTTAATAGAAGCGCGTTACTTAGTTTCCGTTCTAATATGCCATTAGGTGTCTCACAGGCTGACCGGCATCGACACTGGGAATGGGAGAGGTTCAATCAAGTGTTGCCAACTCTCGTGATTTTTGGCATTGTTCTTCAAGTCCACGTTCTGGGAACGTGAAAGACGTAGCTCTTTCTTTTCTTCATATTTATCTACTTATAAGAAAGGGCTGTTTTTTTCGCATACCCAAAGCGAGGACTTTAACAGCAACACCAGCAATCATGAGAGTAGCTTTTTAAAAGATTAATTCTTACAACCTGAAAACCTGCCCGAACCATCTAATTTCAGAGTCTACAATCTTTGATTCTTATGCCCAAAAAGAAAACAAAATTTTGGCTGGGGTGTTATGACCCTGCACTTGTTCCTGCCTGGGGCAGGGGGTCGGACCTGATGATCTGTTTAGGTCCCTTCCAACCCTAACAATTATGAAAATTTAACCGGGGGGGAAACGGAGTTTAATATCTAGTCCCTTCTTATTAAGAAAAAAGTATGGAAGTGACTTTTCTGTGTGCTGGGATGGTAAAGAGCAACTTCCTACATTGGATATATGTTTTGGTGCCCTGATGAAAAAAATTCATGCATGCTAAGAAAATGGCCACCAGCTTCAACAAGGTGTTGACTAGATCACAACCCAAAATGAAAAATAAATGCACAATTCAGAGACTCTTCTAAGACTTGTTTAAAAGTAGGGCTCATGAACTAAATATTCACAAGGGCTAATCAGTGTATACCATATTGCTTAATAGTCTCTTGTTGAAAGGAATGGGCACAACTTACTGCACAATTATCTTGGGTGGATTATTAAAACATAGGAGCAGGACACTGGCGACATTATCTTGATGTTTGGTTGCCCAGTTGTGCAAACTTTGCTGAAGGTGTTATAATAAGTGTCACGAAGAGATGATTGCTTAGGGAGAACAGGACTTCCAAGTCTGGAGTTTCCAGACATAACAGTTAAACCTAATGAGTCTCGACTGATCTGCCAAAATCTTGCTTGCATATTGTACTTTCAGGGACAAGGTGTAAATTGACTAAACTTGTATTAGCCATTCATGACTGTTCAGGGACTATTCTTATGGTGAAAAGGGAACTTCTTAAATATCTGACTGAGATATTAACTAGCATATTGCCAAAATGTATTCAAGATCACAAAATAAAATGGAATGCAGAAAGATAAGCTTCTGTACTACACTGAAGTTTCAGCTGGTCTTTTATTGTTTTTTATCCTTAATTCAGCTGGTTAGCTATATTCTGTTGTTTACTTGCACCCTTGCTTTTATTGCACCTTGAACTCTGAAGGACTGTATTAGGCTGCATAGTTATGTCACCAGCCAAACTCTGCAAGTGAGGTCAGGCCCATGAAAGCTCACGCTGTTTTTCTGGTTTAGTTTGTCTATAGGGTGTAAATCTACCCTGCCTTCTGCTTGACTTCAGACTAACATGGTTAACCTACCTCTCCAAATTCCCTTAGATGTTAACAAAAGCAGTGTCTGAATATGTCATGTTAAATAGATTTAAAAAATGAACACCCTTTAATTCATGCACTAGTAGCCTAACCATCTTTGAAAAAATTGAACACTTTCAGCTCTTCTTGAAACCAAGACTTATCAGTACCTTAATATAATTCAAATCAGCACATTGGAAAGCAAATTCTTTCTGCAGTATTTAATGCTCTGAGTTTTAGATGAGACCAAAGTTTCACTTTAAGACAAGGTTTGCTTTTTCACATTTGTGTGATTGCCAGTCATAAAGAAACCAATTTCTTCTCTGTCAAGAATAGCAAATTTTTCACATAAGGAAAACATGAATGCTGCTTTGGAACTGTGCCAGAATAACAGACTACATTTAAGTCTGTAGCATGAGCATCTAAATAAAAGATGGAATAGTACTGTACTCCTTTTGTATTGCTTCATGGGCAAAGTGCTTTGTAAACATAAATATCACACTACCAATACTCATGTTACACACTAACAGGAAATTACATGCACAGTTTCATTCCTTCCAGTTTTCTAAATACTTTCTTCTCAATTGGTTAGCTCTCTCAAGCGTATTTTAAATGCTTGGTTTTGGCTCTTAAGTCATTTTACAAGTTATGTATGCAGCTGCTTGTCTTTAATAGAATCCTACTGCTTGCTTGAAGCATTGAGCTTAAGTAAACCTTGGTACGCTTAGCAACATTTAAGGCAACAAAAATAGCATGAGTTATTGAACGGCTTTAATAATGATGGCTGATGACCAGCTAAATTTAGTACGTTGTGTGGAATTAGAAAGTCTAAGTAGGATTGTAATTATGTAAAGGGTTACAGAATCACTGAAGCTGTGGACAGCAATAGGTACTACAGAGCGAGATGTGAAAAAACATGGTTTGGTTTAGGACTTCTTAGTAGACAGGCAAAAAACTCACACTTGCTGCTTTCTAATACAGACTAAGTAGGTAAGATAACATGTAGCAACAAGAGGTCTTAGACAGAATTGGCAGAGTGGGAGACTTATAGAAAGCCTAGGAAAGAAAATGGAGCTACATTTGCACTTAAATAGATGCAAGACCAAAACTAAATGCATTTGTGGGGAGGGGGAGGAATACCAAAGCAAGAATGCTTAGTCTCTTTCTTTACATTATGATGTACAGGATGCCTTTGTGCCTAAACACAGCTAACTCCCAGATAGCTTTTGTTGGGAGAGAGGACAACTGATTTGCTTAAATAAAGAGCCATTTAAGCTGATAACCTAAAAAATGAGGAATTTGTTTCATACTGCTGAAACCTTCAATGCAAGACCTCTTTTTCTCAGGTGTTTAAATCGCACTGGAAGGAACACTACATTCTCCTTGGCTTGTCCTTCCTTGTATTCTGGGTAGCTGCCATTTGTGGGGATAATTCTATATATCTAAAAATTAGCAAGATTGTATTACCAGTGGGCATGCTTGAGACAACTTGGTCATGGTCTAAGTGATGTGAAAGAGGTGGAAAATTTCAGAAGTTAAACAATGCGTCTCTTACACTCCATGCTTCTCTTGATATTAATACTGTGTTTAGATGGTTTACTGTTCCAGCAATAACCTCAAGATTATTAGTTTCCACTGCTGTCTTTTTAGTTTAGGACCAAAATATATGTAATACCCTCACATGCTAATTATTGTTCACAAATCTTCCGTAATGCAGATTCGTGAATGCCAAGCTCACCTTTCAAAGGAAGGTTTCTGATTTTAGACATGGTCCCTACAAAATGTCTTTGTCTTTCTCAACAACAGCTGTATTCATGAGAACTCTGAAGGTGGCTGAGGGGGATTGTGCTGAAAGAGAGCCTAAATATCTCTGAGAATAAATGACCTTTACAATAGCTTTGGGGAAGAAAAGAAACCGACTATTGTATTGCACTGATTATAAATTAAGATACACTACATATCTGAGTGTACACTTTGCATCTGTGTGAGCTCAGTGTTTGTCAGTCTTCCTATTTCACCAGGGAAAAACTTGTCAAAAATATAGCTGCTTGATCCCCTGTAAGCTAGACTGGTGGTGGTGGTTACAACTGAGGGGGGTAGCTTGAGAGATGAGGACATCTAGTCCCCCATCATTCCCCTCAGGCCTTGTCTAAATAAAACTTAAGAGGCTTTTTGAATTTGTCTCCCCCACCTTCCAGCTCCCCTCACCCCACATATGCCTGATCCCCAACCAGTCAACAACGTGTCATTTTAAGGTGGTATCACCCTCTAGCTGACTGCAGGATCTGGGGTAAGAACCACTCGGAGCAGGTGATCTAGTTTATACAGTTCTCCCTTCTCATGATGGGAAAGATGGCTTTCATTCATAATAATCTTCAGGGAGGGAAAAATGAGAAGATGGAGGTAGCTCGGGGGGGGGAAGAAGGACAGAGAAAAATCCTGGAAGATGAGTGAAAGGAAAAAGGGAGTGTGAACGTAGGAGGAAGAGCCAAAGGAAAGGGTGAAGACGAAACATAAAAGAAGGGAGATTTTTTACATTTCAGATCAATTCCAAAATTTTCATTACAGCCCAAATGAATGCTGTATTCAGAGTTAGCATATTTCACAAAGAATTTGTAGTGGAGTGAAATGTCTCAACAAAAACAGTTGTGATATAACGACAACACTTTCTCAAGGGTATAACTGAAACATACTAAAATGTGATAATGTTCAGCACACACAATTGTACATAAACTGTATGACCCTTTTTGTGTCTTTTAGATCTACATCTTGCTGCTGAGCTTGGGAAGACATTACTAGATCGGAACACTGAGCTGGAAGAATCTTTACAACAAATGTATGCAACCAATCAAGAA